GGCGCCGTGGGGCGCCGCGCCCCCCACCCGCACGGGCACGCACGGCGCGGGCACACGCAGCACACACAGATGCCGATACGAGCGCGGCGTTCGCCCCGGCACACCCCCGCACTTTCCCCAGCACGGGCCAACTTTCCGGCGCTCCGCCGCCGCGGACACCGCCCCGTCTGCCCCCCGTCCCCTGGGGCGGCGGTCCCCAGCCACCCCCGTGCTCTCCTCGCAGCGCTCGCTGGCCGCGGCCGGGAGAAGCGGAGCGGAGCCGCGAAAGGGGTGCAGCGGGAGCTGGGGGTTCGGCCATGGGCGCTTCCTGTGCGGGAGCCTGCGCTGCGTTCGCGGAGACCGCGGGGAATTGGGTGGCCGCGGTGAAACGAAGCGACGGTGTTCGCCGCGCACATCCTCCGAAACCGGGGACACGCGCGCGTGTCGGGGCCGTTCAGTTTGTGTTTTTAACTGCCCACCCCAGCCGCGGGGCGCGGAGGGAGCCGGGGCGCGGGTGCACCCACAGCAAACTAAGCGACTGTGCGGCCGCCCCTATCGAGCTCCGGCCGCTCCGGGGGGCGCGGGCAGCAGCCCCGGCGCGGTGCGGCGCCTCTCGCCGCCGCCAGGTGGCAGCGCAGGGCGGCGGATGGGCCGCGCGGGGCCGCCCGGCGGGCTGTGCCCAGGGAAGGCGACGCGGTGGCCGCCGCGTTCCTCTTGATGCCGGTGGGATCACCGGCGTTATGCGGTGTGCTGTGGACCGCAGAGGGTAGCACTGGCTAACTAGCAGTCGTGATGGGTTTTTTTTCGGGTTAGATTTCTCTTTTTATTTTCCGCCAAATTGCGTGTTTGGCTGATTTTAAAAAACAATAATTTAGGAAAAAAACAGTCATTTAATTGCATACGATGAAAGATGTGCACATGATTGCGTTTGTGTATTCACTACTGCTGTGGGCTCTATAGATTGTAGTACATAAGTTGAATAAGTGTTATGCATACAGGAACACATGGAGTACATCCCATGTGCACAGCACACAGGTTGGAATCGAGCTTTAACTCAAAGGTAATGATAGATGTGGTTGTGCCTTCGTGGGTTTTATTGTGCGAGTCTAAACACTGAACAATGTTCTGCATATGGTGTGTGATTTCAGTACATGTATATCTTCAGTAGACCTCTGTTAACTCATATCTTAACATCCCAACATGCTAAACCCAGAGATGATTGTAAAGAATCATCTTTTCCTTAATGCTCAGCCTTCCTCAAAAGGCGTATTTTTCTTCTTTGCAAACATAAAAGGAGTATGACTCAAATCCTCTTTCCCTAGGCCTGAAATAAGCGAGATCTTATATTTGAATGGAAGACAAATTTTTTATATGGACCAAGTAATTTTCCTGACCTTGTAGAAGCTTTTGGAAATCTTCTCAGTGGAACAAAGTACTTACTTAAATTCTTAAAGGATCACTGACATTCCCGTTTTGATGCAAAACCAATTAATTTAGTGGAAGGTTTTGAATGGTTTTAGAGTGAGTTCCAAGGTGCTAATTTTAGTCACGAAAAAAATACCAAACCACCCTAGGTACTTTTCCTTCCCCCCTTACATACACTCTCTTAAGCTTTTGTAATATTCAATATGGAATTTACAATAGTGGAACAAAAAGAATTCACAGATAGTAAACGGAGATGTCTAACAGGAGTTTCTTATGGCCTCACTATTTTTGAAAAACATCTTTGTTTTGAATTAATAATTCTGCACTTTGAATATATGGGGGTTTATGCATATATGCTTGCATTTTTTAGGTATGTCATATTTATAGCATCTGTCTGTTTTTCTATGCTATTTTTCTCTCTGACACACAAAATTAGACACATGTAAATACTTTTTTTATTCATAACAGAGAAAGATATTTTAAGTAACCCTGTCAGCGAGGCTGAGCTTAGCTCTTTCCATGAAACTCTTCTGGAGAATTTGTCATTTCATAAAACCGAAATCATGTTAAAAGCTATCATGTAAAAGTCAATATTGGAGACGTATTTCAGTTTAATTGTTCTGATCCTGTACTAATGAAATATTAAAATGCATCATAAATAGAAAATCTGATTTAATGAAATCCTTCTTCTGAGTTGTTAGACTGCTAGATTGTTTTAGTAGCATGCATGAGATTTAAATAGTTATTAGTGTAAAACTATCATGCTGTTGTTCCATTCATTCTTATTCTGATTAACATTTTATTTTTAGTAATAGACTTTAAAGTTCTGTAAAGTTTTTCAGAATTTTGATTTCAATATGTATGACTAGCATGACACAACCCAGGTCTGTATTGCATACTGGAATTGGAATTAGACTCCATTTGAATGGAGTCTAATTCTAATTTGAATGGATTCTGCATAGTCCAAAAGTATTTCTGACAGTGAAAAGTTACATCTGAATGTTGAGCTGGAACTGTCACTATAAACCAAAGCACACGAACATCAAACAGTAAATGCTGCTAAATTTATGAGAAATAAAGATGTTTTTATTATTATAGTGCTACCTCTTGCTAATTTATCTTTCGTCTACGTTTCATTAAACTGGGAAATCCTAAAAGCCTTTAAACTGAAATACTCAGGAGGAAAGTTGGAAATAAGTCACATAATCCTCACATGGAATAAAAATAGAGGGACCTGAATGAAGATGGAACAAGAGAAAAGATAGATAAACAAAAGGATATGGGGCATACATGCATTATATGCATAACAACTTGTAAGTGTACAGATCTACCCCTTTTCTATAGTACTTCAATCAATGACAGTGGCAGGAACAATTGATCTAGCACGTGAAACCAGATACGGGAAATCAGGAATATGGAGGTTCCAAAGTCATTAAGTGACATATACTGAAACAGAAGGATGGACACTCTTTGTTTAGTTCATGCACTAAAATGTATTAAGGAGTGAAGACTGTTAAACAATAGTGCAATAAAAATGTTAAATCTGAAGGTGAAGATGAGGTAGTATGCATTTCAATGAAAATCATTGAGCAAAGGGTAGGAAAAATACTTAATAGGGATGCAATTTATTGTGAATCTGCTGGTACAGATTTGATCTGGATAATAGTGCCTACAAGTAAAGGGGGGGGGAGCAAAAGTTGAGATTGTGTGATCATGCAAATTTGTGTGATTTCTCATGGGTAAATATCAGCAAAAAGTTCAACCAGTGATGCTGGGGATGATGAGATTTTGAACATTATAGAAGATTGCTTCTTTTATGGAACAGACACTGAGCAAGAAAGAGGCAAGGATAACTTAGACTAAATCTTAGTAAATTATAGGATCTTATAGGAAAAAATGTGATGGTTTTGAGCTTTTCTACTTCATGTGAAGTTGCAAGACAGAAGAATATGAAGGATCTAAAACAGCAGTCCAGTGTTTCAGAAAGGCAAACAAAAGCAACAAATTTTAAGTGAGGAGTACAGGAAGTAGAATTTAGATAACATATATATTACTGTATTTTTTAAAAAAAGGGCGAATGATATTAAATGTTTACACTGGAGGAGAGGGAAAGAAATGAAATAGCCCCCCTACATAGGGATGAAAAAGAATTCCCAGAAGGTAGCAACCTTAAGGAAGTTATTAAGAGTAAGCACAAAACCTAAAAAGAATGGAAAAGAGATACTGATTAGCAAGAAGAAATCTGCATCAATAGTTTGAAAGTGTAAAACCAAGCTGAGAACGGTCAGAAATCTTGTTAAACCAAAACTTGCACAGAAGCCTGAAACATAGTAAAAACTTCTTAAGCCATATAAGTAAAATGAGAACTTAAGAAGTGAGATGGATGTTAAAGGATGAGGTAGACATTAAGAATAAAGTAGACCTGGACTAAATAGATACTGGAAAAGTTGCCTCTGTTTCTGGTAAGAATTTTTATATATAAAGAGAAGTCACATCATCAATGCATCTGGTCCTGCATGGCACAAGCATTTGGTCCAGCAATTTTCTGTCCTAAAGTACTGAAAGGATCAACACATGAAATTCAAGTCCAAAAGTAAGCAACTCAAAAATTTTGAAGAAGGTTAGAAAAGGGTACAGTACATAATCTTGAGAGGGGAGTTATCTAAATGGGTGGAAGTCTTTAGTGGGTTTTGTTGGTGACCAGTTTTTAGCCCAGTCCCTTGTAATACACTTAGCACTGATTTCAGGATATAAGTGCATCTGGACAGAGTTTGTAGATTACACAAAATTAATGTTTTTTTCTGAGAAACAGATGTGTTGAGATACAACATGGAATCATGGAATCATATTGAGGTTGGAAAAGCCTCCAAGACCATCGAGTCCAACTGTCCCCAGCACCGCCAAGGCCACCAATAAACACATGTCCCCGAGTGCCACATCCACATGTCTGTTAAATCCCTCCAGGGTTGGGGACTCCACCCCTGCCAGGGCTGGATGACACTTTCAGTGAAGGAATATTTCCAATA